GTTTTCAAATTTTCGCAAATTTCTGAAAAATTAACACTCGTCGGAACTTTTAAACTTGATTTTTGGAAACAGTTTACCAAAGGGTATCGTTGGGCAAAATATGAGCAATTCACCAAAATGGTCGCTGATGGACGATTCTCGATCCTTACAGGCAGCCATTCTTAAGCTTACATCTCATCAGAGTTAATATTAACTCTGATGTCATCTAACATTTAAAGCGACATATCAATGCCTGCAACCACTATGTTTTATACGAACCTCGCAAACTTTTAAACACGTTCTCTTGTGATACCTGCGAAAGTATTCAGTAAAATTTGCGGTACGATTTTGCGGACAATCTGATCGATTTGTCTTACATTGTGTGCTGAGACTGAAACTTTTCACCTCAGGCAAAGCTTCATCGCATGGCCCAAACAAATATAGCGAGCAACAGAGCTTGTTGTATATGTGCATGTTAAAACACACGAAAGGACACTTCACTCTGATTGGGTCTCCGAGGATGGTACAATCACAGTTTGACGCAGTATTATTGAAGTCACCTCACTGTCATTTGAAAAAATCTAAAATGTAATGTTGGTGACGAGGAAATGTACTAAACTCGTCACTAAAACGTACATTTCGACACTCTTGGAATTTGACTGCATTACACAATTTGACAAGTGTTGTGTGCGCTTACATCAAGCGTGCCCAGAGACAATTTAATTTTATGCACTGCAGAAATTTCTTGTTTATGGTTTTAGACCATTCTAGCAGGAGATCATCCTTGTAGCCTGTGGTGAATAAATTTGCGAGTCATACACAAAAGACAGTGTAGCAAAGTAATGAAGTCACCTCATCGTAATTTGCTCAATATACATTTGAAAAATAGAATGTTGAGACGACAAAATATACCAAAATCGTGACTAAAACGTATATTTCTATAGTCTAAGAATTTAATTGCTTTACAAAATTTGACACCTGTTGTACCGACTGAGATAACGTAGCTATCAAGTTGGTCGCACGCTCAGATGACATTTTAATTTATGTGCCATAGAAATGAGAGCAATTGAGCTTCCTGTATAGCCTTTCCTTGAAAAAAAAAAGTTTTTGGAACAATGGGTCTTCGTTTTAGACCACAGGGTCTTCGTTTTAGACCACTGGGTCTTTGTTTTAGACCTCAGGGTCTTCGTTTTAGACCACAGGGTCTTCGTTTTAGACCA